TATATGACTATTTTACTATTTACTCTGTAAGTTAGCAAAACAGGAAAATCTGTTAAATATCAGTTAAAAATGACAAACTATTTTTCTTGTTTTTCTATTTCTTTATTTTTTACAGTCAAATGTTGTAACAAAATGGATTTCCATTTGTTGAAACACAGATTTTTGATGTGATCATTATTTACAGTTCTGGTTTGGTTTTCTTAGTGATAAATATAAATGAATGTTTTTTATCTGGGATTTTATTGGTTATTAAGTTTAATTTAACAAAACTGGGAAAATGTGCAAAACAATAGTAAATTGTTCAAAAAACTTACACTTACAAACTGTATAATTGTTTTTTTTTTTTAATTATTTTTTACAGTGACCCTGCTCGAGGGTTTTGTGGTTCAGAGGATTAAAAAAAAAAACACAAACTGTTGTTCCAAAGCTGCCTGATGCCTGAAACAGCACCACGTCTGTGTTGTGCTCAATAGTTTAATCACCACTTAATTGAATAAATTAGTGAAATTTTTCTAAACTGGATAGTGACAGGGGAGCCTGATGCTTGCGAAACAATCAAGTGAGCCACTTTTCTACTTGAATGTGCCCATCACTGCTTGCCCACTCTCTGGAACAGTGATTCACAGAGAGAGAAGGAGGAACCAGAGATCGCCTTACTTATTCCACTAAACACCACAACCATCCAAATGAACCAAAAGCCAGCATGCTGAAGTTATTCCCTCAGGTAATTCCATGCTCACTAGTGCATGGCCGAACCCACTGTTGTGAGAAATGCAGCAACTCTGCTCGGTCTCCTTGCTTACTGGATATTACTTTGTAATTTTCAAACTCACCAAAGAGCAGATATCCAGATGATCCTTAAAAATAAAACACAAATCTGTCAAATCTGATGTGAAAGTTTGAACTAATCCACACGTATTTTGTTTCTTCTCTTTACAGATGAAACTAAAATGATCAATAGCAGGTTGCTCGTGTGCTTTGCTTATTCAAAATATAGCCATCGTGTTGCCTAAAAACGTATGTGATCAAAACAGACAAGCCACGGCCAAATCTGGCATCTGCCACTGAAGCTTATTCACTGAGAGCTCAGGAAGCTCTGATGCATACGGCAGCTTTTGTTGGCATGATAAACCACGTTTGAAAGGCAAAACAAATGGATGCCCAAAACAATCCATCCGCTTTAGAGAATCCAACAGAAGCACCCACTAGTTATTAGCTTAATGTGCTAACAGAGTCCTCAGCGTGCTCTTTTTTTTCCATTTAACTGCTGTCTAGCCGGGGCCTGATTCCCAGGTAAATCAGTCTCAAGTGTGTCCGAGCTGGATGGTTTACTCAGGGTGTTGGGTCTCCTGGGAACTGAAGGATAGGATGTCAGCTGCTGCTTCCTGCTCCAGCCAGTAACAGGAACTGGCTGCGTTCCAGTGTGTGTGTGTGTGTGTGTGTGTGTGTGTGTGCGCCGTCAGACAGAGGACTGGGCAACGAGCCCAGGTGCAGCAGAGCCCAGGTGTTCCTCTATGAAGAACACAATGAGCGTGTGCAAACATGGAGGGACAGACAGGCAAATGGAGAGGGATTGGTATCAGAGAGCACACCTGTTGAGCACCTGCCCTATCCGCTCATGACACACTGATTATAGACGCAGCAGTTGTAAACACAAGCACGCTCAAAAAGCCAAAATCTGCACACGCGTGTTTCCTTCCAGTCGTCGACATGGTAGGAATGAGCCACGGCGTTCCATCAAGAGACTCCCTCAGACATCCAACTACTTTTGAGTCTCTGCAACTTTTTTTTTTCTGTCACTTCCCCCCCCTGCCCTCCCTGCCTTGCTCTGATCTCCCGCTGAGTTCTTCAGTCTCTGTGTCATTAGGCAGCGCATCAGGGATTAAGAGGGCGATGGGAGGATGTGATTTGCAGCAGAATCCACTAAGTCTTGCATTACCACACACCTCACAAAGCACGGGGGAGTTTCTAATCCACCGCACAGCACAATCCTGCTAATGCATTCATATCAGACACACAGACAACTGAGGTCGACCGAGAATTAAACACCAGAAGTATTACTGTCAAGTTCAGGGCTGACACATTTGTCTCCAGTATTAAAGTTGGCAGATACCTGCACAGCGGTTAGATGTGTTCGAAGATCATTGGTAAGACAATGGCCTGCATGAAAAAGACCGCAGAACTCCAAACAGCAGAATTCTGCACAGGAACAGCCTTTATTACTGGGTGCATAACGAATAACACAGAATTTTAAAGTTACAGATCAAGTGTCAAAGAGAATTTGAAGTTTTTGTCATTCTGACCCTCTGGCTGGATGTGAACGCCAACGCCTCTCGCATGGTGTGATTTTAAACTATTCTCTTAAGCAGAACTGAAGAGTCGTAGAAAGATATGCAGTATTGCAACAAATCAATGAGAGGGGGAAGAAAATAGGGGGGAGAAAAAAAAGGAGGAAGAGGGAGGAGACATTAAGTGTGAGACCAGCAGTAGTACTTTGTGACATGCATCATCAGTCCTGTCTCCTCACTATACTGTATCTCCCTAATGGGAGCGCAGCAGTGTGTGTTTGTGTGCGAAGGAGAGGCAGCAGTGAGTCTGCCTGTCAGAGTGACTTGTAGAGAGACTGTGTGTGTGAGTGTGTGTGAGAGTGTGTGTGTGTGTGTGTGTGTGTGTGTGTGTGTGTGATAAAGATAGGGACTAAATGAGCTTCTGGTGGGACTGACCCTCCTCACTTCTCTCCGGTCCGTCAGAGAGACTGAGCGCTTCACTGGAGCATGGCCACAGGCACGGTGCTGAATACTGAAAACACCACACACACATACACACACACACACACACACACACATCGATGGACATACTCTGGAGAAAGGCAGCTGCAGAAGCCCTCAGTATCCTCACATACACACGAATGCAGACAAAAAAAAAAAAGGCACAGAACCAGAGGTAAACGCCATCCTGCAAACCAAACAGAAACTACGTTGAGGTCAACGTGCATGTATGTTCACATGACATCATGGCGCAAATAGAAAATGTGACAAAATGCATGTGTTTGTATATGTCAAATACCATGCAAGCCAAACCTAGCAGGCTCTGAGTGCGCGGCGTCTGGTTCAGCAGCAGTCGTAATTATGATTCATGTCTCTGTAAACAGCCATACATGTATGATAACATTTCCTATTGCGCAAACTGTGGGAAAAGTGTAGCATATTACATACTGTGAATGTGTGTGTGTGTGTTGGTGCATATGCAAGTTTCAGGCAAAGAATAATTACTCTTGGTGACATACCTTACATGACTAATGAGCAGAGTTTGGGAGCACGGCGTCTAGCTCATTTGTCACCGGATGGTAGGTAAAACTTCAGCGCGCTTCAGCTCCTGTTGGAATGCTGTTAAGGTCATGCTAAATGCTCATACATAGCTCCCGCCTGATTAATTTCCTGTGCAAACACAAGTCAATGAACACCGTCAATTAGCAGAGATGCGCCACGTGAACACGCGCTGACGTCACAGCCGTGTCCTTTTGTCATTGTCGCAAATTACTGTTCGGTAATAAACAATATCTCCACTCTAACGCAGCATCTGATCTCATTTAGCTTCTCAGGGTCACTATCCTCACGCTTCAACCCACTCACATGCAAATCGCCTTGTTCTTGCCGAGGAGAAAAAGGCCACGACTTGACACGAAGACTGACAAAGACGTAGTCAATACAATTTAATAACCCGTTACTGATAGAACACTGTTGTTTACAGCTTGGAATTAAAGCAATCTGAAAGAAATAACGGCAAGCTTTTACCCCATAAAAGTAAATCGACGCTGGGATTTTTTTATTCATTAACTTTTAAGACTCAAAGTAATGGCTACACCTACATTTAACAGCTAAATATAAACCCCTCTGGGATAAGAAGCATAAAACATTACTGGTAATAACGCGGAAGTGTTATCTAAAGTATACACTGCCGTCATCGTGTTCGAATACAATCCGTGCTTTATCAAATGAGCAACTGCATGCACGTGACACATTTTCAGAAATTTACACACTATTCGCTTAATGTAGGCAAAAAAAACTTCAAGATCACACAAAGTTGTATTCAAATAAATTTATTGAAAACAGAAAGAATCTTTATTTTATTCTATACAATGCAGATTCCTTCACAAACAGATTTCATTTTCAGAAGCAATTTAACAAAAAGACATCCAGAAAAGTCATTCATAGTGATCCAAAGAAATCATTGTAAAATGCTTATATATCATATAATCTAATTCACTAACAATTACACCGTTGTGAGAAAAAAAAAATCTCATTTTGCCAAACACGAGTCTGAATAAATAGGTTGTGCTGCCAGATCCTTTCCTTTTCCATTGTGCTGATGTCAAGGCTCTTGTAGTTGGTAATGGTGACCTTTCAGATAACAGGTGTCATGTATGAAGGTCTATTAGGCCCGGCTATCTATTGTTACACATGTGAGTGAGTCACAGTGTTGGGGAGGGAGGGGGTCGGGATGTACCAAGGCGAGATAAAAGCGACTGGGTGAGGGTACGGCTGCATGCTTATCATAATGGTTTCTTTGACGTGTAGTCTTTTACTAGAGGTCGGGAGGTCATGGGAGAAAAGAGGAGAAAAGGCAGAAACTGAAAGCTCAGAATCGCTCTCACATTTCAGGAATCATATCAGCGATGGAACACAGTCGCACACAGACGTAAGACTTGTACTTGTTTTTTTTTTTTTTCTTAAAAGACTTGTGGAAAAGAAAACATGTTAGGAATGAAAGAAGGCCCCTTGTGTGTTTGGTATCTGGGCTTTTATATGCTGCTGTGCTTGGGGCTGCGTGATGACATCGACGCGTCATCGCTTATCAGCTGATGAGGAGGCTTTAAAATGAACATCAACTGCCTGTCAGGATAAACCTCTTGGGGATGTTTTTCAAGATTTTTTTAAACGTCTAAATTAAAAAAAGCACTATATATGATGCCTGCTGGTCCGTCACAATAAAAGCCTGACGACATGTTAATTCCACTACAGGAGAGACATAATGTTCACTGCAATTAGGTGGATAAATTATGCACAGATATCGATATCAGTAATCTGCCGAAATGAGTTGGAAAACGTTGACATCGAGGCAAAAAACATCCAATATCGTGCATCCCTGCTTTTCATTAGTATAAAAAGTCGTCATATGAGATAGAATTTCCCCACAGATGACAGTATTGCTGTTGCTGTGTGGTAAATGGAAACAGAAAGTGATGACTGCATGGAAAAAAAATTACAATTTTAAACAAAAAAAAAATCCATGCGAGCTACAATAAAAGCCCTTGAATCTGTGCTCTTTTGCTAACAAATAATCTCTCAAACAGCGGCAGCACTTGGACTGAAAAGGTTGATAGAAGGTCAGTCCTTGCACCTTACAGGTCTGGTGCACAAAGAGTGAAGCGGTAGGAGGAAAAAAAAAAAAAAAGAAGCATTGACAAACCTTCATATTCCTCTCTATAGAAACACATTACATCCCCAGGAAGATAACAATATACAAAAGAGGGAAACCCATCAAGGTGTTCCTTATGAGAAACATGCAGGCTCACCTCTATTCAGTAATCATTCATCTCCATAATTTCCATTCCGATGAAAAGAACCTGATCATATTTAAAATGCTTATCCTGAGGATGTACGTCTGCGCGCTGCATCTATGTATGTATGTATGTGTTGTTCTGTATTCTGCACACATGTTCAATCAGGACGAGGGGCTTTGTGGATTCTAATCTCACACTTTGTGATCTCCAGATATCCGGGAGGAGCGGTTTGTGCACTGGAATGTGAGGCAAGCGTTTGTCTCAATGTGACGAGAGATTTACATTTTTCTATTAGTGGAGAAAACAGTGGGACGTGACTCTGCAGAATGTGATTAACGGAGCTTAGTCTCCACTGTAGTTTGGATTACTTGTGTTAAAAGAAAAAGAAAAAAAAAAAGATTCTCATATTCTTGGCTGAATGTAGCAGAATGTTAAAGCTAGAGGTCACTGACTTTTTAAAGGCTGCACTCTGGGTTTGCTCAGAGAAAAGCAACTGGAAGAAACGAGCATTAGATTGTGGTAATAGAATGTATATACGAAAGCAAAGGAATAAATGGTAGATTCATTTCACTGTGCAAATTTATCAGAGAAGAAAATGATGTCTAGTCAGTTATGAAACCTTTTCTTATATATAACTTCCCTGTTAGATGCTTTGTGTCTTTTCCATCAAAGAGGCTGCTCATTGTCACCAAGTCAACGACAAAGTGTGGAAAAAGACATTCAGACTGCGTCGACCAAACTGAGAAAACCTTCGCAGGGACTCTACAGAAGCCCTTTAGGACGCTGTTTTGTTTTTTTTCCTTTCCTCTTTCCTCCTCTTCTTGAGTTGAGAAACAAAACAAAGTTCCAGCAAACAGTCCATCTGGTATTAATCCACGTCCACGTCCAGGTTGAGCTCGGTGCTCAGGTTAAGGTAGAAGAAGGCGTAAACACAGAGCACAAAGAACAGGATTGCTGCGATGACCAGGAATGCATCCTGAGGAGGGAAAACAAAAGGTTGAAAAATATCATATTCACAGTATTCTTCTATGGATGGTTTCTATATGTGTGTGCCTGATACACTGAAGAACAGCTCCACTTTATTTCAATGTGTTTGCAATGTTCTGTAATTGAACTTTTTCACTTGTGTTGTATCTGGTTTTGCTAAACCAAAAACCAAAAAATAAATATTTGAAGTGCAGTATAAGTTTAGTTACATTGATGTGTCTAGCTACTGAAATGTCAATCAATGTGTGATCACTTCAGACGTTTTCCAGACAACGAAGAACATTTCAAATGAGTTGAAGTCTGTTCCACTCGGGCGTGAACACAAAGCTGTTACCTGTGCGTGTGAACCTCACAGTTACATCTGTACCTGTTGTCATATTCAAACCAAAAATATCACCGGAAGCAGTTCAAATCTGCATTAATGTTCCTTATTTTTATTCTTAATTTGTTTTCCATTGCAATTATACTTTGATCATAGTTCTTAGAAAATGTAAAGAAATGAAAAACCTTTGTTTTATTTTAATACGTCATAGGTCAGTGTACTGTGGTGGATACAGCCAAGTAGTGGAATAACAAAAAGTACCTTTACCCAATGAAGTCATGGATTACTTTACTATTTTAATCCAAATCAGGGTTGATGGGTTTTTTTTGTCACACAGAGATTGTACTGCTCACCTCACAACCATAGTTACCTGTTAATTTACAGATTATTTTACAGATTAATTGCATCATCAGCTTATAATATACAACAGTTTGTTGCAGCTTTAACCAGCTAAGCAGTCAAATATTTAAAAATGAAGATGTAATCAGTGGCAATAATCCAGTGTAATAATTATGGAATATATTACATTATACTTGAAAGTGCTTTGTTGATGCTGTTACATTAAACTCCACATTCAACTTCACTTTGAATTCACTACTTGTACATTTTTTAGCAGCTTTTTTACTTAACGCAATTGATACACAAGCAAAGCATCTGGATGTTGTTATTTCTTCAAACACTGATATCATGGTCACATATTTTCTGCTTCAGTGGATTTCACAGTGGTCTTTACATTGTTATATATATATACATAAATTTAATTGGGGACTTTTTTAGTCTTTGTTCAATAGGACAGTGAAGAGAGACAGGTAACTAGAAGAGAGCGCAGAAGAATGACTTCCAGCAAACAGTCCAGCCAGGAATCGAACCAGCGATCTGTTTTTTCGGGGCGTATGTGCTCATATGTTACTGAAACGCCCAGCCATAAGCTCAGCGTGTCTTTAACATCTTTAGGCGTGAACAAGCGATTGTATAAATTAGCCAACTTACATACAGTCGATGATAAAATCCGAAAGCATTTCTATTAGCTGCTCTGTGAGATTACGTCACTCAGCTAAATGCAGCTTATTCGGGAAATGAATCTGGAAATGCACTGGCAGCGCTGCTGGAAAGCTTTTAACGCTTTTAAATCTTTGTGCCAAATCATGGCGACATTATGGAAAACTGACATTAGATGCTAACAGACGTAACTGCCACATGAACGTGTTCTAGCAGCTCTAAATAGATATTATAGGTTCAAGTGTACAGATAGAGGTGATGCAGGATTCCAGCACTTACAATCCCCATGCATGTGTCTGTTTATTTACTATTTATTAAGAGTACATAAAAAGGAAATACTTTATTTTCAACCTTTATTATCTACATGAGGAGTCTACAATGAATCCATCTAATGAACACATACATAGCCTATATATTTGCAGTTTGTTTCCCTGCACATCCCCTGTGCATGAGCAATAATTATAAAGACTATATTGTGTGATGACTCGTTTTTACAAAGTCTTTACATCCACTTTAACAACCTCCCCTGGACCACACCATTAAAGTGCAGTACTACATCTAAATAAGATCCAGACCTGATCAAACCCCTGTTAACGCCGACCCCTTATCCAACCGATAAACTAATAGATGTGAAATAAACTCAGAGCTTTCTGCTGCTGCGAGGCAGCTATGCATCATGGCGCACAATGGTGGAGGGAAATAAATAAATCTGACTTCCACCCCTAGAGGATCGGGATAAAAAAGGGGGGACGGGGGGGGGAACCACCGGCAGCTGCACCCAACTCGGGATTATATTCATTTGCGTTTCTGCCTGCTCAGACAACTGGCAGGAGCGCACATTTAAACATCTCCTAAATTGTTATGCACAGCCAGCATAGTGTGGGGGTAGGACTTTCATTATTTAAACCTTCTGACATGGCAGCAGCATTTAATGAAGTTACGGCTTTTGGCACACAAAAAAAATATCTCCAAACGAGACGAGAGGTAAGTGGCCTGACAGTTACTTTCTTTACTGACTATTAGAAGGGATAAAATTATGCCATAGATAAATCACCTTATAGAAAGTCTGCAACTCCAGATATTTAGTGCAGGTCGTGCACAATATACACTTAAACAATTTCCTGCTTGATCTACTTTTGAGTATTAATGGCCATTTTGGCACAAGAATATTATGTAGATCAAGCAAGAGTAGTCTTTGTAGAAAGTACTTGATTTTTGTGTGTAAAAAGTGTATTTTCAAGTAAAGTAAAGCTAATATTTGCATTTCTCTAGTAGTGTTTTTGCGCGTGATTTGCTTAACTTTAAAAGTGTCAGATTTCTATTTTTAATAATACTAATAATAATACGTGACTCGATAATCTGACACTAAATGTAAAACCTTCTTTTATGTCGGATAGCGAGGCTGTCGGATTGTCAAGACGGAGGTGGAGATACAAGGAGGGCTTGATGCTTGAAGGCTCATTTGTTAATATTTATTGTTCATGCCTGTTATAATAACTAGTGTATTGTTAGAACCCTACGCATCGCTGGATTTCTCGCCTAACTGACCGGTGCGATTGTACACATTCCGGCCAGTTCCAGCGCACTCCCGGGGTGGAAGTGGCAGGAACGTGCAGGTAGTACTTGGATGCTGATGCCACTTTAGTCAGCGGCGGTGGAGGAGTGGCGGGCAAGATATGCTCCACCGTTACCATCCGTTTTTACTTCCAAAAACACTGAGCATGCTTGCTGTGTGTGACGTTGTTGTGTCCTCTTCTGCGCATGTGGGACACTTTGGGTCGTATGAAGTTCACACAGCAGATCACATACAAGTCGTATTTAATTAGAAATGTGAACGAACTCACAAAAAAATCTGATTTCACAAAAAAATCTGAATTGGTCATTAAGTCCTGCAGTCTGAACGTAGCCAATCTGTTGGATTGTTCAGTCAGATAATACGCCGTTATTCTTATTAGTGACATAAAATATCATGTCGGAGTCGGAATCCAAGGCTGTCGGTATGTTAAGGCTGTTTTTAATGGGTTCCATTCGTTTCTGTCAGATAGCAAGGCTTTCAGATTGTTAAGGGTCTGAATGTCAAGTCACGACTGTAACCTACTTCGTTTTTAAAATGTATTTATTAGTTACTCAAAGTGTGTTATATTAAAGTTATAGATACTCACACTCTGCTGTAGATACCTCCTTTTTGTTATCGTCTTAGCTTTAACAGTTTATACTTTATATATATTTATTTGTCTTTCCTTTCATATTATTTTTTTACTTGTGTATTGCTGCCACAAAGGATGCTGCAACAATATTTCACTGCTGTCTTTTTAACATTGCTTCCACAGTGACAATAAAGAACTATTTTATTCTATTGTATTTGCTAGTTAACAATTGATTATTGCTAATATATACTGGTGGTGAAGGCAGTGTTGGGGTTTTTTGTTGTTGCAACACCTACCTACAGTTAAAAGAAATGCTGCTTTATTTAACATTTCCACATGCTGAACATAAACGCAGGCCAGAGGTCGTTAATTACTACAGGAGTCTCGGTCATAGTGGCCAGCTGATGCTGTTCTTAGCCCCACAAACACAGGAAATGCTCCACAATCAGCACAACATAGCTGAAATCACATCAGATTTTGAGAGTTTGGCTGAACAAACAAAACTCGGCCCACGCAAATAATTTAGTCTAATGAGCTAACGAGCTAATTAAATCATCCCTTGGCTTCGGTGCACGTTGATCCAATGATAGGAGCATCACGAATACGCTGCGGGAATTGTAACACAATGGAAGAGGGGTTGAAAAAATAAAAATGTTGGGACATTATAAGGTTTTCCAGCATCAGTTGTCTTGTCCAACGGCCATTTTCAGTCCCAACATCCTCCATCTTTCAGCTTGGGCCGTTTCCTAAACCTACACGGAGTCACTTTGTACAGAAAGACGTGCATATTATACATTTATATAACAAAAAAGCAACTGCGCAGAACCCGACAGCCTTGTTTGGAAAGGTTAAATAGCAGATAATCATCTCAAGAGTGCTGTTTTTAAAGCTATTCAAACAGAAGAGCATTTTTTGAAAACTTTGTGGAAAACACAGGCTTCGGGGCTGATGGAGGGCCAAAGCAGACAAACAGGTGCGTTTTCCAATTTACCTGCATTTGTGTGGAAATGCTTTCAGACTCTTTAAAGTAAACCAGGCCCCCACAGTAGGTGTTCTAACTCTGATGGACCCATCTGCACATTAATGAAACAAACATTCACAGCTGCTTTGAGAGAGTCACCGCGGGAAATTGTCGCATGTTGAAATGAAAGTAGGAGTAGGTGACATTGACGATAAATGCACCTCGGTGAAATAATTTAAAAGAGCAGAAAATGCTGTAGATTATATACTCCAGTTAAAGAAATGGGCACTTTTTTACAAATATTATAAACAATATACCGACTATTTATTTGAGTTTAATGCAATCAGTTTCAGGTTATCGCTTGAATTAAAGACTGGAAACTGGAGCAACATCGAACAAAAACACCTTTCAGCATCACATTTCAGACGCCTCAGCCTCACCGAGTGACCGCAGCATCTGCAATCAGTCTCCACTGTTTTCCTGCCATTTTTTTTTTTTACTGAGAAGTTAAAGTTTCTTCAACAAAATGGCCTATTTTTTTGTTGTTTTTTTTCAGATTT